GAWKWYTWMWAAAAAAWMRATCAGACCTTGTAATTGATGTCTGAAGAATTTCCTTCCGTAGTGATACAGCGATCAAGAAAAACCTTTAAGAGAAAAGAAAAAAAATCCAAAATATTTGTTTATCTTCGTGATCTTAAAAAGCCAGATACACTGCATCTACCTCAGCGACTGTCGGGAGAGTCTGCACAAGAATTCCAAGCTGACTGTTATCACCCATAGGGGTGGGGTGGAGTGTCTCTTGCCACCTGGAAAACAKCGAGTCAAATAAGAAAAGATGAACTACAGTAGGACATACTATTTTTGTAAGATGATGTCGTCTGTGTGGAACTCTATAAATGTTGCTAGGAATAATCTTTAAGGGAAGCAAATTTACTACTATGTACCGTGAATATTAATATGACTGGCAAAAGAATGAATACCAAATACCTTTCGTTTTCAGCAATCACCAAGGCAACRCTTTCCCATTGGTGTTCAATGGCTAAGTCTAATACGTTCATATCATTGGTGTTGCACGTGATCGCCAGTCCATCGACAGACAGGAGGAATTCCACGATATGCGCATGTCCAGCAATGCCTGCTATATTGAGAGCTGTGTCCTATAAACATATATGCTAATTAGGTCACTGGGACTACCATATTTGGTCAAAGAGTTAAGTCGCGTAAAAATGTAATGTAAGCCCTTTAATACCTTATTTTTGTCGATAGTATTAAGACATTTGGGATGGAATTTCAGAATAAGTTGGACGCACTTTAGCGATCCTTTCTTTGCTGAACAATGGAGTGGAGTTTGCTGATTAYTGTCACTGGAAATGGAATAGATAAATATAGAAATTTTAACCATCTTGGAGAAAAGCAAGTGCCATTCTCATCTTCTAAGAGCCACAAAAGTGTTCCATACCCTTCGATTTCCGTTTCTGGTGCCAGTATCTCTACCACTGTCTCGTTTCCCTCGATGCAGGCAAGATGGAGGGCAGTTCGCTTCTTGGAGTTCTTGGCGTTGATCACRCGTTCGTTACGATTTTCTAGTATCAACTGTGTGATGTCTACATAGCCATTCCTACGAATGCAACGCGCAGTCATCGGTCAATACTTTTTATCATCAGTCACATTATAATTTTAAAGCTCGATAATCAACCAGCATCCATTTCGAGCTTTTGTTTACGTTTGAAAATAAAAATACATTTAATATAAGCAAAAACGTACTCTTTATTATCCCTTTATGCTCTATGAATGGAGATATTGTTAGATTCGATATTAAAACTATCGAATGGAAACAGATTGCAACTGGACATGTGAAGACACCGCATTTTAATATATGAAAAACCTAAAACACGACCGCATTGAATGCCTGTTAACCTTGGCCCTTCAGAATCATCAAAAATTTCCATGTGTCACGTGATTGTTTCTACAAGGCGTACTGTAAAGCGAGGACCGTAATACACGGCTACTAAACATGCTAAAATGTATAAATTATCAAAACAAAACGTGGAGTAACTACCGTGCAGCCAGGTGAAGAGCKGTTTCGTCGTCTTCATCCGTCACAATTTCATCCGCTGATGAATTACTTGACAATAAAAGTTTTGAACTCTAAAACGATAAAGAAATAAATCGTATATGCTAACAATTGAAAAGCTGATTAGTTCACAGAGTTTGTAAATCAAATGTAAAAACTATACTGTAAATTCAATGGCAGACGAATTTCCTTTGACAAAGTTTAAGTGAATGTTATGTACATATTCTGTAGATATCTTGTAAATGTTGCTCACAATCAAAAATTGTAAATATCTTGTAAAATCTTGTTAAATTGAATAATTTACAGTAAATTTACAGACACTGTACTGAATTTAGCAACTTTTCCAGTAAAATGACCTCACGCTTCTTTACTCCGTTTACAAAATGTAGTTTTAATATGCCTGAAGTTCTGTTTTTATGTCGTGGATAGCGTTTTGAGCCTCCTGGAAATCATGTGCTTATAGTTAAAAAGAGAATGCATGAAACAAACCTTGAAATTTCCCTGCTGCACGGCATAATGCAGCGGCGTCAAGCCATACACGTCCTTCTCTGTGATCTGTGCGACTGCATTATGATTCTACAATACATTGTGGTATAAGCCGATGTAAAAGAACTGGAAATGATTTTGTGTTGATTTTGTAGTAAAAATCAAGTAATTGCGTGTTAATTTACCTTCAAAAGCTCCTCCAATGTAGAACAATTTCCAATTGCAGCATGCAAGCAAGAATTCAAATTTGARTCTTTCAAGCCGGCATCGGCTCCTTTTTCAAGAAGAACCCGAACTGAGGCGGTACATCCACTTGCAGAGGCAAGAAGTAGCGGTGTGTGACAGTTGATGTCTCGAGGGTCAATAACGCAATCCTGGTAAATTTCCCGGCAAATTATCATTGGAACTGAGATTGATTATAACGATGCTATAGGAAACAAAACGCTAAAGCACGAAAAATTGGGGAATATAAGTATATTTGAAGAATTCGCAATGTACTTTGATAGTRAGTGTACAGATGTAGAAGCCCGAAAAAGAGATGCCTGGAAACCGATTGGTCCGGCTGCGTCTCCTCCATCGCTCAGAAGATTACACTAGCTTGGTTCTCGATCAAGCATGATCATAATAGCTAGTTTACACTAATAATGGAGGTGAGTAACTTGAAAATATCCATATTTATGTTACCTTTTCAATGAGATATTTGGCMACCTCGGGATGATTTCCCACTGCAGCCCTAATGAAATAAAACTTTTCAATATTTGTCGAGTGTTTGTAATAAGCATCTCATCGAATACATCATGACGTCATAAGGAGAGAGACCCATTGATAGATTTGAATCACCAAAGAAAAGCACTAACCTATGAAGCGGAGTCATTCCTTGCTTGTCCACCAAATCGGACGTAAATATCTCTGAATCGAATTCCACWATCGCCTTCACTATATCAAGATAGCCTCGACTGCAGGCAAGATGAAGCGGTGTGGCCTCGTCTTCKTTCTTTAAGGTTAGAAGCAATGGTAAACTGATCGACCCAAATTTTCATGTACCGTCCGTCAAACACTATGTTCACACGTTCATGCGCACCGCCGACGATGTTCGCAGTGTTATTTCTACACAACCAATCATATTGCGAAAAAAAAATGGCGCCTAAATAGCGACGCGCGCGTCAAACTTTGAATTCCGACGCAGCATTTTTTATCCTTACCCGTTTTGTCCTGGCAGAACAGCCATTGTTTAGACAAATTTTGACGATCTGCAATGGATTAAAATGACAAGCAAAGGSYCAACAAACATGAACAGGGARAGCTAAGCCGTTTTTTCGTCGGAGGAAAGCTAACTACAARGGTGTWTCTGTAAATTTGGTCKTCCTTTCTTGAGAGAATTAAACAAGCAATGGTCCAGTGATTTTGTAATCCTGACTGYTGATTGATTACTAGGGTGCGCTCTTACTTAATGAACAASGCGCATGTTTACCTGTAAATTGCCGCTGTTCACAGCCAAATGTAGTGCACTTGAGTTTTCTCCATCAACGTCTAGTACAAGATYAGCCATGCTTTCGTTTTCTGAAAATTACAATTGATAAGTTTGAATCTAASTTCAAAACAACCGAAGTATGAGTACCTATGTGTTCTCACTGTTCTCGTGAAATAAAATGGCACGCTAGGACAGAAAAGCCTTTTGAAGCGAGAAACAAACGATTCCTGTAGCTTGCACTTTGCGTAAGTCAATTGATACACAGTCATTTGGTCCTGGCCCTGACCGGACTTACCAACGTACAGGTTTGGTTAAACAGATGGCTGAGAACTCCACAGTCAAAATGAAGAAGAATTTTTAAAAGAAAATATTAACTCTTACCAACAGACGCGAAGTACTTGACAGTCTCGTAGGAGCCTTTTGAAACCGCGACTGCAAATGGTGTCAGAAAATAACCAGCTTTGTCCGATATTTTAGCTCCGTGTGCGACCTGAAGGAAAAACCAGAGTCGGCCTGGGCAATTCAAGATCTTTTGACTAAACTAAAAGCTAGATATGCTCCTGTTTTAGAACTTTAGAACATCATTTATCAATTGTATTTGCGAATCCGAGTAAAGTTGATCAGAGGAAACAGCGTTACACAACAACAAGTTTTTTTTGAACTAAAAAAACCCATCTTTTTCAAACTTGAACATAGATGACCTTTCGTGGCAATTGTCGCTMCTATTTCTCCGCCTCAACGATTCTAATTGACCAAAGAAGAATTCAAATATTGTTAAATATAGTTTGTGTAAGCGGATATGTTTTGGTTACCAGCATCACAGCGATGTCCATGCAGTTCAGTTGCGCAGCAACGTGCAATGACGTCATCCCATTTTGACCGACRATATTGACCTGACATCCGGGACACTGCAGCAATAACTGGAAACCAAGAAATTTAGAACGAAACTATTAATCGTTTTCAACCATTCCCATGAGATTCAAAAGAGAAAAGACCGGCGGCAATGTTGGAGGAATGAACAACAGATACTAATGAGAAATCCTTTCTTGAAGTTCCTCCAAGATGGCCGCTGTGATGTAAACGAAGAATAAAAAAGGCTTTTTAATTCCAGTGCTTTCAATTGACTGCATGATGCATTAAGTGTCCTATTTAAGCAAAGACTATCGCTACATGCCTTCACAATATCCGAGCTGCCCACTCCAACAGCAATATGTATTGGCGTGTCACCATGGTGATCAGGTAGATTGACGTCAGCTCCTGCTAGGAGTATAACCTGGACTACGGACGACACTCGGCTTATTATCGCGTTATGTAGTGGCGTCTTGCCATGATGGTCGTACTTGTTTACACCTAAAGCCAAAGGCGAAGCAGCYAATATTCCGAATTTTTATTATTATACTTTTTACTAGTCCAGAGGCGGACCCTCTTTTTTTAATTGCGCACGAGGAATTGAAAATTGATTGAATCAACGTACTCAACGTTTCAAATGAAAAGTTAGCTTGTTGATCGTTTTCAACCATTCCCATGAGATTCAAAAAATAAAAGACCGGAGGCCATGTTGGCGGAATGAACAATAGATACTAATGAGAAATCCTTTGTAAAGCTCCTCCAAGATGGCCGCTGTGACGAATAGTGAAAACGAAGAATAGCATGGCTTAAAGGACGTGTGTTTTTCATAGAGAAAAGGTGAGAAATTTAGCAGTCTGTCACAGATACGCAGGGGATATCTCTGTTAAATAAACACAGGACCAATGATATCCAAACGTTTGACTGAATATTTTGTAGGTTTTAAAATATGTGCATATTAAATTTTTAACCAAGAGAGAAAACATATGCAACGATACTGATCACTTTGCAAATACCCACAAAACAAACAATGAGACTCTTACTTGCTCCCTTCGATAGCAGTCKTTTCACCTCCTTCTCGTCGCCAGATAACGCGGCCAAATGGACAGAGTTTAGGAAACTTAGATGATCACTCTAGAGAAACACAAATCGTGTCGTGAAAGGCGCCATATTTCCACAACATAGACCGTCCACGCATGTGAATTTACATATAATGTGCATAGCACTATTGTCACTATTGCAGCACAGTGAAATACTGCTTGAAAAATGCATATTTCTTACATRGGATAAGGTGAATGTTCAATCCTCAAAAAGCAAAATAACTATTAYAAAAAAATGCCTTCTATTAAGACCGGTAATTTACTTAAAAATACACTTTATTATAGTATATGACCGCATTTTTTAAAAGACATTTTAAAATTAGCAGCCAATTTTTATCAACAGTATAAGAAGGTTGAATATGTCATCATGTTTTTAAAACTAATAGTTCACTCACTCGGGATTTCTTTCCTGTGTTGGCTGTTTTATTCCCTTTTTCCAWGTCATCATCAAAGTGTCGAAAGGAAGCCGTGCTTGTGGTGCTGTTGCCACTGTATGCTCGCCATCTTGGAAATGTTGGGCTATCACAGTCGTCGAAGCTGACCGACTTGTAGGATTCAGCCATGTTTTCTTGATCTGATGTGAAATGATGTTTCAGTATCTTAATTAATCGTTCAGATGGTATAATTGCAGCCAAAAATTGATTGTAAATATTTTCAGATTCGAGTGTTCTTGCCGTTCTATAAGATAGTTAGCGAGATGTGTATGTGAGGAACATTTCCTTAAACGAATTCAACATGTGCAGAATACAATGCAAGTTGTGGAAGTAAGCGGATGCACTGAGAGGGGAGGAGTGAAGCAATCTCTAAGATAACTAATACAGAGGTTGTAAAGAGTAAGCAGAAGGTGATTTCATTTAGTATTCTGTTTATTACTTCACCGCTGTCTTCGTGATTCTCACATGGGGAGCGTTTCTGCTAATCACAAAATAATTAATAAAATCCCCTTGGCATTGAAGTCACTTCACACCTGAAATTCGCCTTTTGAATGCCTTAACTATACACTGTATGAGCTATATATTTCATTTTCATTATAACAAAATTTCTAAAATGAGCTTTATGACACATGACTTATATATTTCGTGTAAAACAGCTTGCCAAGGTGAAGCCCCGTCCATATGCACATATATAGCAAATAATATAAAGTTGTTAAAAGGGTTATTGTTTAGAATGCCCAGTCCACACGATAAGGACGCTTCTTTTTTACAGAAAAAGTGTGTGCCAGTCTAAAATCATTTATACTCTTGAATATCATTTTGTGGGGTGCATGATATTTTTTTTGTCGTTTGCCGTCAAGCGGACATATCAAGGCCCACTATACTACTTACTATATCACTGGAAAAAATCGCGCGCTTTAAAGGTTCAAGTAAATTTGATGTATATATGATGTAAGTGTCCAAAATGATGTAAATTTGATGTAAATCATTTCCATCAAATTTCCATCATTTTGGACACTTACATCATATTTCCATCAAATTTACAACCTTTATGGCGCGCGATTTTTTCCAGTGTATATTTCACTTCTGAACTTTCGAGCAATTCCACATAAACGTGCAATCCAATGCAACCCTCAATACCTCAAAGCACTTCGTTTGCCATCAATCAGAACTTACTAGAATACAGTTTAGCAGCCGCTAACATCTAACTTCAGTCTTTTGCGTGTTTTGTCTGTAACACTTTAGTTATGCATATCATCTATTTCTAAATTTTTTACCTCGKAGTCTTTCGGATCTTCTAATACTTTGGTCGCTTTCAGCGGTCAGTAGAACTCTAAGTGCAATTCTCTTGTGATCAATGCGACACTCCTATTTGACACGAAAAGTCGCTTTCCATTTGTCGACAGTTTAGTTAATTATCAGAACACGCAGGTATAATCATCAAATAGAGCTTATTACAATCGTAATATAACCTAACACTCACACGTTTTAGGGAAAAATAATAATTAGGTTTTTTTTTAAATAAAAACTGGAATTTGAAAAAGGGGTCATGTTACAGACGACAAGCAACTGCCCATACTTCATTTGTTATTTTCGTCCGACAAGTCATTTGCCAGTAAATATTTTTTTGTCGATAATCGCGGTACATTACATCAAAGTTTAATATCGGTTTAGTATTTTTTTTCTCGTTTATTGTTAGTTGGTTTAGTTTTTTTTTTTTTTAGTTTTTTGGTTTAGTTGGTTTAGTTAACCCAGGATCTAGATCAAACATTGTGGAATAGCTTCCTAATGAGCTAATGATTCTTCTACATCTTTAAATGGGTATCTTAATCCAAGCTTTTGGAGTCCATTATAAGATTATTACAAAATGCTTTATATGGAGGGTATTATGCAAACTCTATCCAACATTTTTGATRCTCCAGTTCAAATTCAACGAACAAGGTAGTCAAAAGCCTTTAMACACTCCCCAATCAAATTCAACACCAATCATATGGTCCTATGTCCTCAAACTCCATCCAACCTGTTTGATTCGCCATCCAATRACATCCATCACCATCACAAAAGGTGGTTGATGTTAGGTTGTCCAAGTCTGTATGATTTTGCGTAAAAAAAAACTGATATTTCTTGTGAAAATGATTCAAAATTGGGCTCAATAAAATAGCTTTTTTGCGATCTCCATATCTCCTACTGTGTTCTATAAAAAGAGAAGAAAGACAMATGGCATGTTCGGTGCTTTTATCCAAGTTAACTATATAAAAARTATGACAAATAAAATGACAAGAATATATCAATTTACATGTACTTATAGCAAAAATCTAGTTCTGCAGCAAAAATTTACATAACAAGAAAATGGTCTTAAACTGATAAAATTATGTAATACACTGCTATATGCCATACATGACAAATTTGGGGATTTGTTTTCATCGATTCGTTATCATTTTAAAAACGATTTTTGATCGATATTTGAATTTTAAAATGTGAGTTCACCACAGGTGTGGATAATTAATACTTAATTCTGAGGTTCACCTTCAACTGGAGTCAAAAACCAACTGACATACCACAATCACATACAATGAAGGCGGACAGTTTAATAATACATTTAATGGAAATGTTGGTCTTGAATTGTGTGGTAAAAGGAATCAACTTACAGTAAGGGAATCCCGGGGGGTACTCCCATATATTTGCTATACGGGGACGTGCCGCTGGCCAGGGTATGGTTTTTGGCCTTGCTGTCTTAAACAGGGTATACATTTCACCCGAAATTGTCTTAAACAGGCTCTACAATTTAGATAAAAGAGACCGATATAATTTTTTTGTGTGTCTTGGACAGGGTAATATTTTCATAACACCGTAGAAATAGTAGAAATACCGTTTCACTGTCCCAGAATTAACGTGTTATCAAAAACTTCTTATTGTCTTTGATGGATGTCAGTATATTTGCAGTTTTGATGGTTGCGGCGTAGATAGCTATTCCTTATTTTTCCGATTTGTCTTGAACAGGGTATGGATTTTTACTTTTTAGTGTCTTAAACAGGGTCAGGGATTTAGACCGCTGGCGGCACGTACCTATCCAAAACGTGGTCGAGTACCCCCCCCGGG